CGTCGACGATTTCGGGAACACCGATCAACCGATTTGAATAATTCAAAAAACATTCGATTCGTATTGATAAGGAGACGTGCTGATTAGTTTTTGGCGAAGTCAGGTCTAGCCGTTCCGAAGATACGGGGCAAAAAGTGGCGAAAACGGTAACTCAGTTTTTAAGAGAACGGAACGTCCGATTTTAATAATTCAAATAATATTTTACTTGTATTGACAAGGTGAAGAACCGATCAAATTTTCAAGGCAGGTCTAGCGGTTTCGGAGATCTAATGAAAAAAGTAAAAAAAATGCCATTTGGCGATCAAAAATGATCATTAGACATATGCACATCAAATTATCAGATATTTTGTAGAGATTTTAACAATAAGTATAATTTTGGTTTACATTCCTATGGGTTCCGTACCAATGTTTACGCGTTAGACGTCGACGCGGCGCTTACGCGGTTTGATATTTCGTCCTTATGCAGTTAAAGCAGTACGATTGCTTTGACAAAAAAGTTTAGATCTTTCAAAATATGTCAAAATAAAGAAAACATTTTTTTTAAAAAAAAAAAAATAATAAAAAAAAAATTAAAAAAAAAAATTTTTTAAAAAAGTAATTTTTTGTCTAATTGTTTGTCAAAAATCTTATTTTTTCGAAAAAAATTTTCTTCAAAAATGTTAATCGTTTTTAAAAAAATAATAATTTTTGGTACGGGAAGTTCCAGCAATTTGCCTTAAGGCACGATGCCTTAATTGCCTTAAGACAGAATTCCACTTACAGCTTGTTTAGTTTATAACGATGGATTTCACTATGTTACAATGAAATGCGAGATCGTTTACTGCAAACAAGGGTTATATTGAATATATCGTGTCCGAAAAGGAGATTTTTATACTATATCATATGGCGCTGATATGAAGAGTCTATAGAACAGGATTTGTTAGGATTCGAAACGAATGATGACGTATCTGATTATGTTAGATTCATAAATATCATTAACAAAAAAATGATCTACTAATACCAAAAAGTTAGTTCGGATTTAGTAGAGGTATGTGTATAAATGACAACTTGTCCATTTTCATAACTGATTTGGTTATCCATGAATAGAAATAATTATATAATTTGCCTCTTTAGTGACAATGTAGTCCCAGGCATATGATACGACACCTTAGACAAAATTGGATTAATTCAGAAGTTTGTTAGAGCGATAACATCCACAGTGTTTGAAAGAGGTGCATTCCACAAAATAAATAATCAAATATCGGCCTGCGGAAAATGCATAAAGGGTTTTTCCAAGGGGGCATATTAAGCCCAATTTTATTTGCCTTATAGGTGCGGAACATTGAACATATTTGGGAACAAGGAACAAAAATTCTTCAATACGCTGACGATGTTTTAATATATATTAAAAATACTGAAGACTGTTCAAGATCCAATAGACACTATGTCTCGAAATATTGAGAACAATTGGCTAGCATCAAAAGGCCTAGAGTTGTCTAGCGTAAAAAGCGCAATAGGCATTATCAGCAGACATAGAGACAAGGTTTTTCCGGCAACGGTTAGCAGCAATAAACATACAATTAAAATTGTATTAAAAATCTAAAATTTCTAAGGATATGCAGTGTATTGTAGTAAGGATAACATTTAATTCGGATTCAAATCACAAAACTTTGTGTCAGCAAGAGGTAATAATAAATATCAGTTTGCAAAAACATGTATTTATACAGACAAGCAGACAACCAAAGTTGCATAAGCAAACTATAAAATTTAGCAAACTCCACAACTTTGGAAGAGGTAATTTATCATGAAATTTGGAAGAACATCCAGCTAATTCTGTATAAAGAAGGAGAGGTCAAAATTATATGGGTTAGAACACATTCTGTAATCGCAGGAAATGAAATAGCGAAAGGATAGCGACATAGGCAGTTGTTAATAATAAGGACATTCAGGACACACCACTTTCATAGACTATATTAATGCAACAAAAAACAATATGATGCTGTTGTGGATAAAGGAATGGGACATCACATCTTCCACCAGAGGAAACTACTACAAAAATATTAAACCGTTTGTGAGCAACAAAATATGGCAACGTCTTTTTCAATGCAACACCTTTTTCTTGAATGCAATGCAAACTGATATAATCAACGATTGAATTCAGTTAATGAGATCTATAGAAACAAAAATTTTAAGATACCATTTAATTTAGTAGTATCATTATCATTATCATTAATACAGGAATATATAAGTATTTAATTAATTTCATATGGGAGTGTAAAATTAAGTTATGAGAATTATGAGTAGAAAAGTTTATAACTATATTTTCTTGTATAATTTAGAGTAGAAATGATTTATATTACACAGTAAGGGGCTAGTTGTAATTTAGAAGACAATAAATACAAATTAAAAAAAAGAATCTTATTGTACAGTTTTGCAATTGGCTGACTCGGTTTTGTTTGAGTGCGCGTCAAACCTGGACCGAATTTTCACTTCAAATCGCTGCTGAATCGCAAGAATATCACCCCATTTTTGACGCGGTTGCTGACAAGTGATAAATAGTGGATCCCTTACGACAACGTAAAGCAAAAACTATCGTAACCGAATCGCGATGAGTCGGCGGAAACGGTGGCGAATTATGATTTGGTAGGAATGGCACGGAATTATCTACTGTGAGCTGCTCTTGGCCAAATTTGCCAAACTCTTAACTCGAACTGTACGAAGAAAGCAATCGTGCAGAAGCGGTCAGCTTTGGCCAATAGGAGTGAAATTGCGTTCCATCAGGACATCGTCAGGCTACACACATATATCGTGACTCTTCAGAAGCTCGGTGTGCTTGGTTGGGAGGTTCTTCTTATGAGTTTATGTTATAGTCCGAATCTGGTGCCATGGTTATCAGTTTTTTGAATGAAAACTTCTCTGCAAAAAGCTTGTAAAAATCGTTTGCCTCTATTTTATGCCAATAGAGACGAGAGTTTTTCTGAGAGAAGCATTATGATATTACTTTCAAAATGGCAGCAAGTGAAACTGTTAATTAAAACCTTCAAGTTCATGCAGAAATAAATAATTTCTTTTTACTTCACATAACATGTTTCTAAAGACAATATAAAAATAGTGAGGCGCATAGCATCGTGCCTTAAGGCAAATTGCTGGAACTTCCCGTACGAAACTATAAATGTTTAACAAAAAGTACTTTTTTGAAAAAAAGACTGTTTGATAAAAAGTGTATTTTGAAATATTTTGGAAATTCTGAACTTTTTTTGCAAAGCAATCGTACTGCTTTAACTGCATAGAGACGAAATATCAAAGCGGGCAATCGCCGTGCCGCCGTCTAACGGATAAGCATTGGTAAGAAACCCATAGGAATGTTAACAAAATTTATACTCATTGTTAAAATCTCTATAAAATATCTGATATGTCTAATGATCATTTTTGACCGCCAGATGGCATTTTTTTACTTTTTTTACTAGATCTGCGAAACCGCTAGACCTGCCTTCATGAAAATTTGATCAGTTCTTCATCTTGTTTAAACAAGTAAAATGTTTTTTGAATTATTCAAATCGGACGCTCCGTTCTCTTAAAAACTGCTTACCGTTTTTGGCACTTTTTGCCCATATCTTCGGAACGGCTAGGCCTGCCTTCGCCAAAAACTAATCAGCACGTCTTCTTATCAATACAAATCAAATGTTTTCTGAATTATTCAAATCGCTTCATCCGTGTTCTTGAAATCGTCCACGAAAATTTGTATCCGAACACACATACATACACCAACACACATACACATACATATACACACACATACATCCATTTTTTCTAAGATATGCCAAAATATTCAGAAACCTCTGAAACGTAAAGATATATAAAAATTTTGATTTTCGATTTTTTTGCGGTTACTATAACTTACCCTGCGGGAAGTTAAAAAAAATAGATTAAAAACTAAGTTGCTAAGAACAGTTAAAACAATTAATATTAATATTATTTATTGATTATTGATATTTTCATTTTTCGAATATTTCATTACGGTACGGGAAGCTTCAGCAATTTGGATAAAAGCACAATGTACCTCTACTTTATTAGATTTTACTTAATGTGATGATATATTTATAGCTTTATGTCGGTAATGGCCATTCATCTGTATTTTCGAATAAAAATGGATATCACTACTGCTGCAGACGCAAACTTTTACAGGGACATATTGTGATTGTCACGAAAGCAGGCGCTTGCCACAGACATTAACTATTCATTAAAAATAGTATGATTTTCTTTCACTTATTCATTTATCTTAGAAATATTGCCAAAATTTTAAAAATACTATAACAAATTTAAACCTAATTAGATATGCAGCAATTATATACATTTTAGTAGATTTCATATTTCATATGGATTTATTTTAGAAATAATACAATTAAAATATATATATATATATATATATATATCAGTGTTGTTAATTCGGGCAGAATGCAACTTAAAAACTGAAGCAATCTTTACTTCTCGATATCAGCATACAGTGAAATACAAATAAGAGATTTGCATCTTAGTAGCGCAATACTAAGAAAGTGATCATAAGTAATTTATTATAATTGCAACCATTGAATAATTAATAAATTTCGTGAATTCATCGGATTCATTTATCAATACCTTCGTTTAGCTTAATAATTTAATACCACTAGCTTAAAAACATGCTCAAATATAAGTCTTGCTGCTTCGATATTTCTGCTTGGTGTTATCCCGAATTAGCAAGCCTGTATGTATGTTTATATATATATATATATATATATATATATATATATATATATATGGGCTACATATGAATTATTAAATGCTTTTAATAGTAATTATTTCATGCTCTAAAAGAAAATTAGTAAATGCTATTGTTTACAATCAGTAAAATGCGACATTTTCTTGATTCAAGTATATATATATATATATATATATATATATATATATATTTACAAAATATTCATCTATTTTAAAAAAACGTACATTTAAAAATAAACATAAGTTCTTACAATATAAATTTATTATCTATCTATAGGCGATAAGTGTAAAAATATTCTAATTAATTAGGTCCGTACATTTCGCTGGATAGTTTTATATGTACTGGATTCTTCTTGGTTAAGTGAAACCTTCCATAGAATTTTATAAGTCTTTGGATTACAAATGACATCTACAAACTTCATCAGGTTGTTCACTTCCGACTATTCCCAAATTATCTGAAATTGGTTTATCAGGTTAGAATAATATATATATATATATATATATATATATATATATATATATATATAGTAACTAAACTCAATTTGGTTGCAATCATAATTTCTCATTCATATGTAAGCGTGAGATATATATATATATATATATATATATATATATATACGCGGACTGACAAATTTACTTCAATTTATAAATAGTTCAAGTTTATTTCGGGTACCATATGAAATATAACTCACCAATTAAAACAGATGATTGAAAGAGATATATAGATTTCATTGAATTGCTCAGAATCTATAATTATTTTTTGAAATATTTTTATTTTAATATCATTTAAATAGTTGCAGCTATTTTAATATTGATTTTTTCAATCTTAGAATTATTAATGATGAGTCCAATCAGAAACTAAATTTCATTTCAATGTTATAAGATATTTTAACAATTTTGTATACTATTTTAATTTTGAGTAATATTATACCTAAGTTTCATTTGATTTTCAGTTTTGAATCTAATTTTAGGAATATCCTATGTGATTGTATATCGTATTGGATTGTTATGGAAAAATAGGTTTAAGCGTTGGTTTATAGATGCTATATTGGTTTATAGATGCTAAAAAGCGGTACTATAACTTCTTAGCTATTTAATTGACATAGAAATTTTTAAAGTTAACGGTGTTTTAAACATGCCGAATATTCAATATGGAAATAAAATGTCATTATTAATAATGTCGCATAATGTCGCAAAAACTTGCGGATATGCAAATATAATAGAAAAATATAAATCCCATATAGCCATAATATAATAGTTACTAATTATAATTTCTAATTGTTCAGAAAGTTTTCGTATATTAAATTTTTTTAGATGCACCTGCGAAAGTTCTTGATTTTAATCGGAGAGATATTCAGAACTCTAATATTTAATAAAAAACTTTAATGGCATATACTCGTCTTTAATAAATTATGATGGCAAAATGTGGGCTTAATAATTTTTATGAATATATTTGATATTAAAAGGATTTTAAATAACAAAATTTGATTTAAATATGATGTCATTGCGCGCTGGTCTAAATTTTAGTGATCCAGTTAGAGCTTTACCAACACACACATAATATATATATATATATATATATATATATATTTTTTTGTTGATATATATATATATATATATATATACATATATATATATACATATATCTTATATATATATATACATATATATATATATATATATACATATATCTTATATATATATATATATATATATATATTTATATCTTATATATATATAAAATTTCAGTGTCACAAAGTTCGTTCCCGTACTCTTCCAAAACGGCTTTACCGATTTTCACCAAATTCATGCGTATTCAGTAGAACTGAGAATTGGTAACTATCTATTTTTCATGTGATAAGGTTTGCTAATCCCTAATTTTGTTGTTGTTATTTTTAGACGAAATTTTTTGTTTCTATTTTTATATAATGTGGCATTACAAATTACATTTAACCCATAATTTTCATTTTCTTATCACCAATCCCTATTCTTTTTAGTCATTTTAGCTATTCAATCATTTTTTATCCTGCTTTCAGTCATTGAATATTTTTGGCATAATTTTAGTTCAGATTTTTGAGCTTGAAAGAGCTTAAATTTTAGTTTAAAATACAATTTATCATTATTAAGGGTTGTTGAAGCCTAATACTTTTTTCAAGTTTTTTTATTTTAATGTTTTTTAAGCGGAATTCAAAAATACATACAACTCTTTTTACAGCAAAATACTAATTATTTATATTAAGCGTTGTCTGCCCCTAACATTTTTTTCAAATTTTGTGGGAAATGTTCTTTATTTTAATTTTCTATAAATTGAAACTGAAAAATACATAGAACTCTTTTTACTTCGAAAAACTATTTATTTTTATCAAGAGTTGTTCACCCCTTTTTTATATTTTGGAATCAACTTTCTTTTAATTTTAATTTGAACTATTATTTGACATCATTTTAGACAAGATTTTTTGAGTTTATACAAAAGCTTGAATGTTACTTTAAAGAACGATTAATTTTTAAAAGGTTGTCCAACCCTAACACTTCTTCTCAATTTTGAGGTCCTTTGTTTAATGAAAAATACATCCTTCCACCCATTTTTTTCTATTGTACAAATATTTCTCGATGCGAATAAACTGTACAAAGTTTATAAATGGTTTGCATAAAAGGCAATTTTTGCAACAATATAAAGAGATTGAATATTAACCCTTTCCACTTGGATGCCGCCTTTATGTAACAACGTTACATAGAAATCTATAGTAAAGCTGTAAAATTTTACACTCTCTCAATTTTATTCAAACTCAGTCAATGCGCTGGGTATGCCACATAACAATATAATTTAAAAATGAATAATTAGATTTTGCTTCGTAATTCAAAAATTAATAAATTTTTGAAAAGTGCGGTAATAATATATCAGGAGCTTGAAACTTTAAATGTGCCAATTCAATTGAAATATAATCAGTTCCAGATTAGGTTGCGCACTTGTTTTGGGCATTAGTACGACCCGTACGACTATTCATATACATTTTGTTAGCTGCCCCTTTCACTTATATTGCACATTTGCAATCAGTTAGTTATTTTTATACTAAAAATATTTTTTATGCCGAAACAACGTTTGCCGGATCAGCTAGTATATATATACATATATATATATATATATATATACATATATGTTTGTATGTGTGTGAGATAGAGAGAGCTATTTTCAATCGAATTGCATATGATTATTAGTATAGTATGTTCTTAGATCTAGTTATCAGAAGCAGGGGATCGAACAGAGTGTATATCTAGTAATATTTTTATTTTTTTATAATACAACACCAAGTGAGGAACGATGATTCCTAAAAGTCAATCACTACAGAATATATATATATATATATATATATATAAAATAATACGCAACTCTCGAATAAATTGCGAAGTAAAGTTAAATGTGGATGGTGCGACATACCATCTGTAAACATGAAGGCGGTTGAAAGCTGCTGTGGTTTTGGACAAGGTAAATCATAAAATTATTTTCAGAAGAGTTGCCAAGAAGATACCATGAACATTTAATGAGTGATATAACGGATCCAAGGATGTTCGATATATTTTAAGCTCCAAAATTTCAACTATAGATTTAACTTATAATATGTTACACAAATATTTTTTCTCTATCTCTTCCTTCATATTATATATCATTTTTAAACATAAAACGTAAATTTGTGTTAGTGGCTTGAATATGTAAATTATGATGTTATTATTAACTTCCCGTAGTGTAAGTTATAGTAATCGCAAAAAAGATCGAAAATGAATACTTTTATATATCTTTACGTTTCAGAGGTTTCTGAACATTTTGGCATACCTTAAAAAAATGGATGTATGCGTGTGTGTATATGTGTATGTGTGTATGTTTGTGCTTGTGTGTGTGTGCGGATACAAGTTTTTGTCGACGATTTTGGGAACACGGTTCAACAGATTTCAATTATTCAAAAAACATTCAATTGCTGTTGATAAGGAGACGTGCTGATTAGTTTTTAGGCATAGGCAGGTCAAGCCGTTTCGAAGATACTGGGCAAAAAGTGCCACAAACGGTAACTCAGTCTTTAAGAGAACGGAGCGTTCGATTTTAATAATTCAAAAAACATTTTACTTATATTGACGACATAAAGAACTAGTTAAATATTCATGAAGGCAGGTTTATCGGTTTCGGAGATCCAGCGAAAAATGTAAAAAAATACCATTTGGCGGTCAAAAATGATCATTAGACATATGCACATCATATTATCAGATGTTTTAACAATAAGTATAAATTTTGTTTACATTCCTATGGGTTCTGTACCAATGTTTATCCGTTAGACGACGACGCGGCGCTTACGCGCTTCTATATTTCTTCTCTATGCAGTTAAAGCAGTACGATTGCTTTTAAAAAAAGTTCAGAATTTCCAAAATATTTTAAATTAAAGAAAACATTTTTTTTCAAAAAGCCTTTTTTTTCTAAAAAAGTAAAGTTTGGCGAAAATTTATAGTTTCTCAAAAATCTCATTTTTTTCAAAGTAATTTTTATTAAAAAATGTTAATCTTTTTTAAAAAAATGTTTGGTGCGGGAAGTTCCAGCAATTTGCCTTAAGGCACGATGCCATGTGACCCACTTGTTTGAATCATCTTTATTTGGCGGTGGTTTTCGATATAAATAGATTGTGGAATGTAGTAAATTAATGAATTGTTGTGAGAACTTGATTTTTTACTCAAATATCATATTCATTATATTTTGTGCAATACAAATTCCGAATTAATGAAAAAAATGATATGTGCTGATAAAGCTTTGTCATCATAAAATTTTTAAATCAATATCAATTAATGATTTTAAACTATTCTCAATTATATTACAAAATTGGTTCACGAATTTTTGTGAAAACTTTACGAGTGCTTATTATGATTTTTCAAATAAGTTTTGAGAAATCTTCCACGAAGGTTTAAATTTTGGCATTCACGCTCGCACTCACACATAATTCTTTTCAATTTCAGAATAATTAGATACGCCGAAGAAGCATAAAATTAGCAATTCGGATTTTCTGGTGAAAACATAACCTTTTTCTCGGCGTAGTTATTAAAATCTTCTGGTGCGTCTAAGAAGAGATTATGGTATGCAACACATTAGATTCACATTCTAATCTTTTTTTCTATTTCTGTCAGTGGAAAAAATCATATCTACTACGTTCCATACGCATAACATTCAAATCATATTTGAATTTTATTCTGCACTTAGTTCATCAGTAACTTCCCGTAGGTCCAGAAATCGAAAATACATTTTTTTGCATACTTTTACGTTTTAGAACTATCTGAACATTTTGACATACTTCAGAAAAAATAATGTACTTATGTGTGTATGCGTATGTATGGATACAATTTTTATTATACGCTTTTGGGAGCACAGATCAACTGATTTGAAATATTCAAGAATAAATCAATTGCAAAAGTCGGTTTAGCCATTTCGAAGATATGAAGCAAAAAATGCAGAAAATGAAAATTCAGTTTTTCAGAGAACAGAGCATCCAATTTGAATGATTCGGAAAACATTCAATTTTTAATTATGAGAATACGTGGTGATTAGTTTTTTGTACGTTTCGGAGATAAGAGGCTAAACGTGTAAAAGATGGCAGTATTTGAGAGAACAAAGCTTCCAAATTGATTTAAAATGATTTGAAAAACAGTTTTTTTGTGTAAAAACAAATAGTTTAAGATGGCAAAAACTTTCAAAAATATTTTGTTTTAATTCCAATTTTATTTTAAATATCAAAAATGGTTCGGATATTAATTTTAATTTTAGCAAAAATTATGAAACTCGTCGTCCAATTTGCTCTTATATTTTGTTTATAAAATATGAATGATGAAAGTTACAATATTTATAATAATCTATTTGAAATCATTTAATATTCCTCGACTATTTCACTAAGGTACTGAAAGTTCCAGCAATTTGCCTTAAGGTGCGATGCCATAAACCACTAGTTTTATTTTATTCTCTTTCACTTCAACTTCACGATTTTATTAACGTAATCCTTTAATAATATAATTAACAATATTTTTTTCAACTTCGTATTCAATATTTTTCAAAATAAATTAAATAATAATATATTTTTAGAAAAAATTCACTAAACAAAATATTTTAAATTATTCCTTCGACCAACTTCTATTGTAAATATGGAATGAGAATTCAGAACCATTTTCTTGTAAATCATTAATTAATTTTATTCAGCAATGTTTTAAGCTTTTCTATTTTAGTTGCTATAATTCGTACTCATGGTAATGATTATTTTAAAAGATTTAATATAATACAATGTTAAAATTTTTAATAATAATATTTTTTATAATCCGTATTATTTTATTAAAAGATTGTTATTGATTGGTTTAAACAATATTATTTATAATATTATTTATTTATATAATTTTAGGAATAAAAAGAATAATAATTATTAATATGAGATTAAATTTTGGTTTTGATATTATATCTTATAGATTAAATGTATTGAGTATTGAATTTGAATTATTATTTTAATATTAATAGCTTCAATTTTAATTTATAAAAATAATTATAATTTAAAGTCATTTTTATTATTATTAGTTTTTTTATTATTATAATAATTTTTAACTTTTAGTTAAAATATGAATAGTTACCTTATTTAATTTATCCCTGCGTACAATAACCATAGCGCCAATAATAATATTATAAGGATGGCATATGTTGTCATCAAGTTTCTTGCTTCGCTGTTGGGCATTTTGAATATTTTTGGGATAATCTAGATGATCATATAATAATATTTTGAATTTTGTTTATTTCATCTAGTATAAATATTATAGTTTATTATTATTATAGTTAAAAAATTTGCTATAAATACCTGTTAGATTGAAATATTTAAGCCTGCTCCAAAGCTCGGGAGGTTATTTCTTGTGAAAATCTAGAGGTGAACTGCGTGTGCAGTCCTTTATACATTCTCCATAAAGTTTTACTGAGACTCTACAGAAGCGCCAAACAATTTCAAAGTCATGAATTTTTTCGTTTTTTTTTAATATATATCTTTGTATAATATATGTTTTAGCAGATTTGAAAAAATATGAGTTTTTGTATAGCAGTATAATTTGTAAGGTTTTTGTTTAGAAATTAATTTTTACTTGCATCTAGAAGAATATCTAAAATTTTAATTTATTTTGAATTTTAAATTATTAATTATATATTATTCAAAAATATTGTTTTATATAATGTTGAACTGAAAATATTATCGTTTTTGAATATTTGTGCTCTTTGCTCTTTCTACTTTTTACCAATATTAATACGATATTGTATCACCTTTGCATTTATTGTTACGTATTTGAGAAACCTAAAATTTGCATGTCTTGGACGTATTTTTGCAGCATGTTAGAATATTCATGTCCTAATATGCATCAAAACACTTTTTAAACATGCAAATTTGCCCAAATTTCACGTTTTCTCAAATACGTAATAATATATGAAATGTATATTAAAAAGTTGGTATAGTGTAAGATCCATCACGAATATGTCAAAAATAAGTTAGGGATTTTTTAACAACAATATTTAAAAGTAGAAGGAAAAACATGTGTACTCAGTCATCGCTCTCAATTCAAGCTATGATAAACGATCATGTTTGGAAATATTTTCTTTTATTGTTAGGTTTCTTTTTGTTTATGAGTGCACTGTTGTTTATTTTACAAGGTCTTAATACGTTATTTGATTATTTTATAAGATGTATTGTTAATTTTCAGTTATATTCAACTGATGTTTCTATATAATTGTATATGGGCAGAGTAAAAAGGACCATCTGAACCTCTGTCCAGAAAAGACGCAAACAATAAAAATAGTAAATAAAATAAGAGTAATTCTACAAGAGATTAAATTGATTTAATAGTTATTGCAAATCCGCTGGTGAATATTTCTAACGAAATACCAATTCTTTTTTTTTGTGTCTATGAAGTTTATATTTTGCATAGATTGAATTTTCTACATATTATTTTATAAATCACTTTAAAATTAAAATTAAGACATTGCATTAAAATGAAAAAGGACAGATGTCAAATTTTATAAAAATCGAGAATAGGCACATTTCTATAATTGGGAATTAACTGGGAATTTTGTTGAGCTTTGTACCATAGTTATTGTTTGGTTGATACGTGTTTTATTTGGTTGTTCGTGATGAAGTTTATTTGATTTGGTGTAAAATTACTCAAAATCAAATTAAACGTTTGTACTCTGCCCTACTTGAGAATATTTATTGTTTATCTGAACCAGTTGAACTAATTAACATCCCGAAGGAGAAGTTTATGTTTTCATAAAAAAATCCGATTCGCTAATTTTATGTTTTCTCGGCGTTTCAAGCCATTCTGAATCGAATGAGACCAAATTTGGATAAAGTATGTGTGTGTGTATGTGAACAGATTTTTTGCCGTAAATCGACGTTTTCTCAAAAACGGCTGGATCAATTTCAAAAATTTGAAAGCCATTCGATGTATCTCGATTAGGACTAGCGTTCATCAACTTTGCGCGACGATCAGCCAAGCCGTTTCTTTGTAAATAGCAGAAAAGTGAAAAAAAATTTGTCCACGTTTTAGCTCGCAGCCTGGTAAGACTTAGCCTTGGACCTTGGAGTTCCGGGTTTGATATCCTCTTTGTTCAGCTTGATATCAAGCAGAAGTGATATATTGTACACGAGTAATCTACTGGGTTGTCTTCTAATAGCCATCATTGTCATCTTTTGATAGCAATAATTAAGTAAACAAAACAAGTACTGAATGCCTTCATATAATAATAGACAGTTTGTAATTCAAATATATTTAAAAAAAATATAAGTTGATCAATTTGAGCGAGTTTAAAACCCCCGTCGCTGACCATCCCAACTGAGTATATTTGTTATTTTTGTGGATCTGTTTATTTTTATCGTTTCTGACACATTTATCAATGGATAAAGACTTTTGCTTTCGGGCCGCCATTCAAAACAAGTAACTACGCCAAATATCTTGCGAGTAAACAACCATTACCTTTTATAATTTCATCATTGCAATAAATATGGATAAATATTGAGACAATTAATAGAATACGTAATTATTTAAAAAATGTTATTGGTTATAGACGTCTGATAAAATGAATCTACTTATTGTAAAAGCAGTATCCGAAAAAATGAAAGTTGTTTAGTATACAAGCATATTTTTTAATTAAATTAAAATACAGATCTCGTGCTTGATCTTCATCTCAAGTGCTTGCAAATTGTGTGAAGTTTGAATATCCACACCCTTTCACCTTTATTCATGATGAAAGGCAATTTGTTTTCTGGTATTATTTCGGTGTGAGCAGTGGCGTACCTAGAACTTTTGCCGCCCGGGGCGGTCTTCAGATTGCCGCCCTTTCAATTATAAGTCAGTCAAATAGTAGTTTTCATAAATTAATACAAATAAACTAGTGGTGCATGGCATCGTGCCTTAAGGCAAATTGCTGGCACTTCTCGTACCGAAACATGAAATTTTTGAAAAAGATTAAAAATTTTTTGAAATCTGAAAAAAATATATTTTTGAGAATTTCGAAAATTTTGAAAAAAATGGCTTTTTTTGAAATTTTTTTTTTTTATATTTTGAAATTTTTTGAAAATTTGTAACTTTTTTTCAAATCAATTGCGCTGCGCAGCTGTTTTGGAGACGAAATATCTAAGCGAAACGGCTAGACATTGATACGGAACCCATAGAAATGTAAATTAAATTTGTGCTTATTATTAAAATCTCTAGAAAATATCAGATAATTTGACGTGGATATATCTAATGATCATTTTGGACCGCCAAATATGTCATTTTTTTACTTTTTCTTATTGATTCTCCGTAATCGCTAGACCTCTAGACCTGTCATCCCAAAAATAGTTCTTTATTTAGTCAATACAAATAAAATGTTTTTTGAATTACTTAAAATGGACTCTTCGTTTTCTCAAGAACTAAATTACAATTTTTGGCTTTTTTGCCCCGTATCTTTGGAACGGCTGGACCCGTTTTGCCAAAAACTAATTAGCACGTTTTATCAGTACGAATCGAATGTTTTGTTCAAATAGGTTGATGCGGGTTCCTACAATCATCGACAAAAGTTTGTATCTAAACACACACACATCCATTTTTTCTAAGATATGCCAAAATTCAGTAACCTCTGAAACGTAAAGATATATAAAAATTTTCACTTTCGACATTTTTGCGATTACTATATATAACTTACCCTACGGAAGTTAAAAAAATATTAAGTTATTTAATCAATATTAATTTATACACAGAGTATTTTTTTTCAGACATATTTATATGCACTCGTCAACATATTTATATAATGCCCTAAGGCTTTGCAGACCTAGCAGACCGCGCCTTCCGCCAGCCCTGATTTTCAAAAGAAAAATTGATGATTTAAAAAAATATTGATAAATCACTTCAAAGTAATCATATAAACTTTTCAAAAGAAATGACATTTATAAGCTGAATAATAGAAAAAATCGCTGAAAAAAATCGTAAAGATGCTTATACGAATTCAACGAATTTTAATGAATACAATAAAATAAAATTATTAACCTGTTCTTAAATTAGAATTCAAAATTTACACAAATATACATTTATATACACCGAGGAATAAAATTCTAAATCATATGGTTAATCATAATTTATATAAATCAAATATTGATAATAATAAAAATCATAATGATCATTTATAATTCAAGAAAGAAAACTAGTTGGTACTGGTATTTTGCCTTGAGGCAAGTTACATGAACTTCCCGAAATGTGTAAATATTCGTCTTAATCAATGAAAAATAAATTAATTTATGAGTGATTAAAAGTATTCCGAGTGGATTTATTACACATCATTGCAAACGAACGAACAAACACGTTAACTAGGAGTATTTTCCAAGATCAAATTTTTAAAAATCAATAATTTTAATTAATCAATAATTATAATTGAACCAGTTTCCGTAGGACTTTAATGGTTTACTATGTTCAAGACCAAGTACACTATCGTTATACCAACTAAATCATCTAATTTTATTTTTAACAGACGTCAAAAAACATTTTCTCTAACTTTGATAAATTTTTAAAATTACTTGTCGTAAGGCCGTAATAATTCAGTAAGTTCTATAAGGCAATGATATACATCGCCAAAGAAAGTTTCATAAAAATCGGCTTAAATTTTTTTTCAACAGTTCATTAGAAGAAAACGGCTCGGTAGATTTTCACCTAAAACTGATCAGTATCAATCCCAACTAATATCTTTCGAACAGTTTTTAATTTTTTGAAATTGGTTCGGTAGTATGAGCTTAAATGTGGACGAAAGGTTTAACACTTCTTTCCAAATTACAAAGTAACGGCTCGGACGATCGTCGCACAAAACTGAGAAACGATATGCCTCATCGAGATACATCAAATGGTTTTCAAATTTCTGAAATCGGTTCAGGCGTTTTTGAGAAAACGTCGATCAAAGGTCTAACTTTGACAAATGCCAAAAAGACCATACTAATTTTTGCAAACTTTGACGAATTTTTAAAGCTAAACCAGTTGTCGTAGGACCGTAATATTTTAGTATGATCTAGAAGACTATGGTATCTAATATGGTGTCTAATATAACTCAATTGAAAATTGCAGGCTAAAACGTAGACGAAAAATTTTTCACTTTTCTGCGATTTATAAAGAAACAGCTTGGCCGATCGTCGCACAAAACTGACAAAAATAATAGTCCTCATCGAGATACATCGAGTGGCTTTTAAATTTTTGAAATCGGTCTAGCCGTTTTTGAAAAAACGACAATTTACGACAAAAAATCTGTTCACATACACACACATACTTTTTCCAAATTTGGGCTCATTCGATTCAGAATGGCTTGAAATGTCGAAAATAATAAATAAAATAAAAATAAAATTAGCGATTCGGATTTTTTGATGAAAACATA